TATTGAACCATAAGGCGATGGTGTACAAAATAAGATAATGAATAAATTTAGAGAACTAAAATTACTTTATTTTAAAAATTGAAAGTAGTTCATACAGAAAGTAAATCAAAAAAAGATACAGTTATTAAGACGACTAGTTACATGTAATAACAAAAATACAGATGTAAAAAAATGCTTGCGACACCGTCCTTCCATTTATATAAAATAGAGAGATTATAATAAAGAAATAAACGACTTTATGAAGTAGCCAATCATAAACTAAAGCGTACAGGCTCCGCCCACTTAATTTACATACTGTTCACCAAAGCTTACCGTACACAAAACGAACCGTTTCTTGCAAGGACGTACCGTACCGAGCACAAAGCGAACCGTACCGTACACAAAACGAACCGTACCGTGCAAGAAGCGTACCGTACCGTACACAAAACGAAACGAACCGAACCGTGCAAGTGTTGTAGTAGCACGTTTTAGGGTCTGTATATTTTGCAACATGTGCTTAAAAAATCATAAAAATTACTCGGGTAGCCCTAAATTTATTGTAAGGGGAGGGGGGGGGGTTCCTGTCCCCATGCAAGCACCTGTGACTTTAAACTAATGTAGATTGTGTCTCATGTCTTTTATACAAATATGCTTAATTCTGATTGATTGCAAAGATCAATTTTAGGCACTGGTCACTATTCTTCAAGAAATCACAAAGAAATTTAACAAATTTCAGTAAATTCTATCTAACGAAAATTAGATCTTCATTCCGCTCTGTGATTATGCCACAATTCATGGAGTATACTTTCCATAAAGTAATCATGATAGGGAGTGGTATATCTCCTTTATAGTGTAATACTTCAAATAATCCGATTTTGTGTGTTGCTGGTTGAGACATCTGAGTTGTGCCCCTTCCTTTGTCACAATGCGAGTGCAAAGCTGAGTTGAAAGCTGAGAATGGTCAATGCACTCTAAGCTAACTTAGAACTGTGCCATTACTTGGACAGTATACCACCTCTGCTCTAGACCTGGTGTATTCTTAGAGGAATATAAAGCCAACATATGTAGATAGTTTAGAAAGGTATTTACTCATACTTTTTGTTTAATGAGATTGCATGACTAAATATTTGAAAAAAAAAGTTGTTACATCTATTGTTACACAGAGGAATTGTAGGAATTGTTCATTAAAGACAGACAACTAAAGTTGTAAGGGTCCAATCACTATTCATCGGTGTCATTGAACATTTATGTGGGAATTCGATATAACTTGGTCAACAATATGAGTTTTCTTTGTAATATCCTTAGCTTTCAAAAGTTATACATGTTTGACAAGGGAAAGAAGAAATGTAGTTTATGAGATCATACATGTACAAAATAAGTTTGTCTGTTTGTAGATCATTCATCAGATTTATGGTGATGTGTTATATACACAAAAATAAATAAACATATAACTTTAGTTCACTCTGTCTTAGAATTAAAACCCTTCAATATTATATACAGAAGTAGTTGATGGAAGAAGGTTGACACCCAAGTACACTGTATTACAGTGTACAAAAGTGTCAAGCTTCTTTCATCAACTTCTTCTGTATATAATATTTAGGTCTTACACATGTACGCAAGGAATTCGCCAATCAAAATGAACTTGTATATAAAAGATGTGATAGACATTTTCTGCAACTTTCATTAAATTGCATTAACTTTTATTTGTCTTAATGGTCTTACGCAAGGAAATACCCAATCAAAATGAACTTAGTCAATTAATTTTTGACTCATGTAGGAGGAATATTATATCTTTATCAAAATTGCCCACTGAATTAAAGGGAACTCTTTTTTAGGTGCGCATTATGCGACTTCCTGGATGATGTGTAGTCTGTTTGTCAACATGTGAAACCCAGATTTTTCATTTCATGCATTTCAGGGTAGGTACATGTGTATTTACTGTCAATTTTCTTTCTTAAAAGCCGCATAAGGTTTATTTTTTCTGATCTCAAATTTTTGTCACAAAATCTTAATATAATATGATCTACCATATTGTATTTATATATCTTGATATCCCGCCATTGATTCTTAAGTTACACTTCTCCTTAGCCTTTTCTTTTATCCAATGTATAAAATAAATGCAAAGTTATTAATTACACTGCCTTTCATGTGTCCTAGATCTAGTAATTGTAATGTAATACAAAGTACGTGCAAATGTGTAGTAAAAGTTTTTCGACTGGATTTTTTTTGGAGAAAGATCTAGAGGCTACACACATTCTCTATCAAGAGTTGTCGTTCACGCTACGCTACCAACGTGTATTAGGAGTGTAGCGGGAACGACAACTCTGGATAGAGAATGGCTATACACTTGTACATCAGGATACTCTGCCAATGGCGGTCATCCAATAATAACAAGTAACGGAACAATGGACAGAAACCTAGTTTTCATGCATATTCAAGTATATATGTAGACATTTAAAACGTTCCTTTCATAAAAAAAAAATAAGCTCAAAAGGATTTTGACTATGATGAGCACATCCTATCAACCATTAATGCATTGTGAAATTAAAAGTTACATGTAATGGTATTCAACTAATTGTATTCTTATTATTCTAATGAAAATAATAATAATAATTATAATGATAATAATTTTATGTGTGTTTTTATCAGACTTTTTTGTGTCTCTTTTTTTAAAGAATATCTCCATCCAATCATTTAAGGAAGTGTTATTTTCCCGAATTTATCCAGGAAACGTATTAGTAAAAACGTTTTAAGAGTCAGTTTGCGAGAAAACTATGCAAAATACAAAAACAAAAAATCGTCCAAATGGAAGGTTGCGTCTTAGGATTTTTTAGTAGCTTAATATTTTCTACACAAAAGTATAAGTTAGATTTACTACAAGAAATTGTTGCACCTCCAATTTATTTTTAGTAAGAGCTCATTTGTATATTTGTTGAAAATCACACTAAATTAAATGGAAAATCTTTAGAAACTGATCGATTGAAAAAGTGACTTGATGCCACCAGTTTAATTTCAAATTTTGTTTTATTTAAAAAAATCATGGTGTCAAGTTGACGATGGAAAGGTTAAAAGCATCACGTTTATCACAAAGCTTGGTTGTTAGATTACCATTAACGTCTTTTTCTGGTATATATATTTCTAGTATATATTTTAAATTTAAAGTTCTATATTTGACTTTGTAATCCATTTGAGTTTTGGGAATTTTTTTCTTCGAAAATTGGCGATTTGTAAATCCCTATATCCCAATAAATTATTAGATCCCAAGCTTAATATTAATAATAAATTAAAAAATTGTAAAGATAACGGTTACAGTATATTAGGACAATATTATCAAAAATTTGGTTCTGGAAGATTTTGGCCATTCAATAGGTAAAAGTTTAGTCAATTCTTGAAAATTGGCATTGTGCCAATTTTTAAGAATTTTCTGCCCTTTGATATGCATATCTGATTTTGATAAATGTCAGTTTTAGGAGAACATAATCATATCTTACTTAAAAATAGCGTAAAGAAAATACAAATTTAATTTTGAGTAAAATAAATCAAATATGATTTTTACCTTTTTCCTTGAATTATTTAAGCGCATGTGCACTTTAATGCGCATAAAGTAGGTGGCGCTTCCTATGGTAGCCATGTTGGATGAAGAGGGAAATTTTTGGCTTTTTTTCAATTACATGTCATAAAGTCTAACTACTTACCAAATTTCATTAAGATATGATAACTTCCATTTGAACAGTATTGCATGGTTTTCTCGCAGACTGGCTCTTATTTTTTTTAATAAGAGTTTGACACAGGTATATGTAAATTTCGAGTGCTGACTAGGTTTTTGACCAGCTGCTCTATAATCTGTATTAAGTGTCTGACATTTCGTGAGAATAAACTATTCTTATTGCATTTTCAAATTGCTGATTTGTTCATAAAATTCAAGGACTGCTTCATGCCAATCTTACTTCAAATGATACAGCGACAGCGTATGCCCTGGAAGGACTTAAAGGATTTAGATTTTCGCTCCAGGCGCCGCGCCTGGCACTACAAATGAAAGTCACGTGTCTTTCGGTTTAGATATTAAAAACTGAGGTCCCATGTCCCGTGTAACCATTGGCACGATAAAGAACCCTCAATGCTCAATTGCCGTAAGTGCCGTGTATAAAATTTAAATTTAAAGCCTTTCAACGGTAAACGGTCAGGCATTTATACAAGTATGTGTGAAACATTTTCGACTGTGAAGTAAAACAAATACAATCAATCAATCATTTTCCGGACTACGGCCACCAGCTAACTATCAAATAATGACAGCTTGCACTAAAACTTCACGTCCGGATTCAATCAATTCAATCTTTATGTGTCATCTCCCTCGAGAGAAGACAAAAATCGTCATGACTTTACAGCATTCTATTAGAACAATGTCAGATGTTTATGTTTGGAGCACCGACGTATATTTCTTAAGCATCTGCATTGATTCTGTTTATTCTAGATCATAAGCCGGTAATTTAGCTTATTTCATTCGCCTAATGATTGCTTAAATTTTTGTTTGACGGAAACATTGATTCATATAAACATGGAATGAGGGAAACTTTGATCGTTTGAAATTTTGATTGATTGAACATTTTTTGCTTTTAACATTTGTGATTTGATTGATTGATTGTATGTTGTTTAACGTCCAATTCGAGAATTTTTCACTCACAAAGAGTCGCCATCATACACTCTTAAAGGGATTTAAATTTATATATACCCGACATACCCGATATATATACCCGACATTCAGAGCTATTGAGCAGTGATGGTTCTTTTTGATGACAATGCCAATCGTGACACGGAACCTCGTTCTAATACCCGTGACATTCACTTCCAATGCCGGGCGCTTGATAAAGGAACGGGTACTACCTATCTTTACCTCTTATGTATGACGCTGCGTTGAGAACGAGAATCAAAATCGGGTCTCCTGACCATGAAGCGAACGCCCAATCACTAGGCTACCGTGGCCGGTTTGATTTGATTGAAACATTGATTAAAATTGATTGAACTTAGATTGATTGAGAGTTTATTGATTTCTTGACCCAACATCATTACAATACAAGATTCGATGTAGATCATTGATTGAAATTCGGTCCAATTGATTTAATTGATTATATGAATATATGACAATAGAAAATAATTTATTTGTGACTATTGATACTGGCTAAAGACAAAGACTGTAAATACCGTGTTATTAAGCAATTATACAGAAATAAATACCAAAGTAAGATATTTTCATATGCACTAAAATTGCGGTCCCTATAAATAATAGGACCTATGTTTTCTTAAATTATTTATTATATGGGAAAAAAAAATATCTACAGCAAAACGCCACACATGCATTCCAAAAATAATGTCAAAAATAACTTTACAAATGAAATCTTCATCAGAACAAAAATAATTTTTGCATAGTCTACGATATAGTTAGTTTTTTTGAAATTAGGCAGCATGTACTGGAATAACTAGGATACTAATTCAGGTTAAATGTGTTCTCAAAATTACGTAAAGAACCAGCCTTTTAAATGAAGCATGCGACTGAAAATCAGCAATAGACAGAATTCACAAAATGTAAGTAAACAAATGATAAACACTCAAGCTTATGTACTGTTTTTCGTATTCTTCATTCGGATTCCCTTTCTTCTTGCTCTAATGCAAAATCCGAAAAAAATACCCAAAATTGCAATTAGTGCCACAGAAAGCAGGGCTGACAATGCTATAATTATCTTCTTTTCTTCAAATTTAGAAGTTGCCTGATAATCAGAACCCTTAGACAATTGATTTGCCCCAGTCTGTGACAGATAAGTGCCATTGTCACTATTTGCCTTAAGAAACGCTTCGTGCGGAAGTTCAATAAATGGCGGTCTTCTTATTCTTGGAAATTCTTTCTTGGAAAACGACATTGATTTAACGCAGTAATTAACTTCACATGATTCTGCCAAGGCTGCTAGATGCATGCTATAACCTGTTGGACAGGCATGGGGCCATAATTCAGAATTTGCAGAAATGAGATATGAACGTATGCTTTTAGTGTCGTTTTTATTACTTTTATTACCTTCTTCTTTCATAATAGCCAATGGATTACCCGACTTGCAACTAAACAGTCCAGCAAACGCTATTGAGTATCGAAATCCTAGTTCAAAGTCGTCAGACACACAAACTTTAATATCATCACCCATTGTGAGGGGATAAAAATAAAGTGGACATTCGTGTTCCTGGGTAAGTGGATTTTCTATCGTACTTGTATAAATTCCCCCAAAAAGAAAGCCAGCGTGATGATAATTTTGACCTGTACCTACACACCAATATGTTTCATAGTACGCAGTGCCATATACATAATAATATGAACAGCAAGTTGATAGCCAAAGAAAACCACACGATGTACACCTTTGACGAGTTTCTGAAGAAGAAGTGTGTCCTTTTAATAGAAAAACGGACTCATATCCCTTTGGGCAAGAAAAGACCCCTGTTAATGGGTTTTTCTGTCGTGTACATATATTTTTATACAACTGTCCAGTCTGTGTGCATTTTTGGTAAATCCCCCCGAATGTATAGTTGCCAACGTCATTTGAACATGTCCCATCATCAAAATTAGCCATATATGAAAAGTTAGGCGAGTCAAGTTTTGTACATCCACGGTAAGTATTAAACCTGTAGTATTCTTCCACTGCCGTCCTCACGTATTGAAATGTAGCATATACGATAGGTGGTGAATATTCTGGAAAGTTACGCCAGTTGATCAATTCATAAATCGGAGAGCCGCTGCGATCAATTGCAACAAGATTGTCTTTCACTTCCGATGCCCAGTCATTCAAGGAATAGTTGTTTGGCTTAAAAATTGGTCCTCCTTGGGCATGAACCAAACTACTCAGTTTATTTGTTTCATAGTTTCGTATAAGCTCTGACGATTCTTCATATTTGCTACTTAAAAAGAAATTGAATTTTCGAAGAAAACTTGTCCTTGCTGCAGTGATAATTTTGGTTCTGTCTTTATTCACACTCTTCAAAAAAGATGATTTGATTTCATCGACTTGTGAAACAACAGCTCCTGCATCGACGCTAGATACGACGTGTGTTCCAAAATCTCGAACTAATACTTGACTTTCATACTCAGCTACGGATGAGAAATTCTTTTGTATATTCTCTGCAATGTTTTTTATTTGCTGACGAAATGCCGGATTAAGTTGTGACGTTTGCTGAAGCTTGGCTGAATAACGGATATATCTTGCCTGTACACGAGTTGTTACAGCATTGTTCGCAATCTGATTCTTCTTAACTCTTTCTTTTTCAAAAGAGAAACTACCGCTTATTTGTAATTTTCCATTAAACCCCGCACCAACATTTATTGAAGGTGATGTCGTTGAAGTATATTCAGACCAATGATGAAAATATTCACCTTGGACTTCTACCTGACTTGTTTTGATGGGGACAGTGAAAACATTGTCTGGTATTAAATAATTGCCATCATCTGTTGTAACGCACTCGGAATAATTAAAAGAAACAACTAGTCCACAGACCTTATTTCTTAGATTATCCCATCCTGACCCCGGTAAAACTCCAAAACGGGTAACACGTTTTCCCATTCCTGCAAGGCATTTTTTGGCATCTCCCGACTTAGCGACATCTAGTGTATAAGAATCTGACTGTGTTCCAGTCACAATGATGATAAGGAGTAAAATATAAACCCCAACCAGAGCAGTGTGTGAAGACCTTTCTGTCACCATTTTAACATTGTCTGCGCACGAGCGAATCGGCTTTTAAATACCAAAAAATATTTCGTAATATGCAAATTTTTAAATGGCTTCCCGGGTATAATAATTTTAAACAAGAAGTTTAGTTTTCTTTCTCAACAACATAGGGTTTTGATGTTTATATATAAAGTATCTGTTTACAAGAAAAATTAATATTAATTAAAAATTAACGATCATTACATTTCAGATGATTAAAAACTGAGATGCAAATTGTACTATTAATTCATAGTGATGAAATATGAATATTTTTGGAACAATTCAACTATTTTTGAAATATATTTGGAAATACAAATTGAGAGCAGAGCAAAGTCAGAATTTTTTTTATTGCATAATAAAAAAAAAAAAATGCATTAAGTACAAATATCTTTAAATGTTTCATAACAAAATTATTGGAACACTTTGAACAAATCCAATTAACAAAAACCAGAGCTGTTGCAGAAAAACGCGAATATTTTCAATAATATGTGCTTCATCAACATGATAAAGTTAGAATATCTCTATAATGCAGTTATTTTTTCCTCAGATCAGTTTGATATCCTCTAAACACTAAAGAGTTCTAATCTTTTTGTATCCTTTGCAGTTTGGGTAATCTGGCTTTTGAAATGGAATAAAATGAATTTATATCTCCCTTATTTTACTCAATTTTTAATCAATCCAACCATACTTAACAATTGAATTGTCGAAAATAAATCAATTTTGCACTGTATTTGCATGTATTTCTCCCACTTAGTGATTTCTATTCACGAATACTTTGTTGTCCTCGATTTTTTTTCTCTGGGGTAAATGTCAGGTACCTTATGTTGAAAATTAAATACCGGTAGTTCTATATAAGTTCTATATTTGCACTTAATACAATATAGTTTTCTCAAAGTCCAAGAAGAAATTTACATGAGTGGATAAAGGGTCCTTAAAGGAATCTCCTTAAAGCCTATGACTTTCAAACATAACTCGTGATGTTTGTGAATTTCTTCAGGATTTTTGTTCTTTAAATCTTTCAAGCAGTAGTTCTAATCTGCATTTAATTTTTATTAATAACTAATGAGACTAATTCGCACATTATGAATTCATCGAAAATTTGTAGAAAAAATTCCATAAGTAGACAATTTTCGAACGCCTATCATGAATCCGAACTTTGCATAGTTAAAGGAAGTTCCGACCCTGACTAAGCGCTTCTTATTTTGTACATGTATTATTAGTCCAACCTTCTTTGAACCCAATTTTTAAGTATAAATCAGTGTCCAAGATACGAGTTTGTGTTTTTCCATTTCTTGCATCTCTTTCCTCGTATGTAAAGGTGTCATACTCCGTTAAACACAAAATTTAATAATAATTTTGTGAGCCACATTACCTACCGAAATGACCACTTAACGGAATGTGTTTGTGCATATAACATCATACAGTTGCCGTTTACAGTTTTGCTGTTAAATTAATGATTTTAAAGAAATTTGTACAGAAGAGATATTTAAATTTAATAAAGATTATTTTATGAAATATACAAATAATCACTCTTAATTGACGGAAGTTACATGTAAGTCATATGGAAAGAAGAATCATTTAGGTACAACTTGTTTAAGCACACCCACAGGAAGTGAACTGTGGTACAACTTAACAAATTCCTCAACTTCCTCTTCACAATTTCCCGCTGAAGCAGTCACATTGTTAGTTCCAAGTATAGCTAAAAACCCACCCACCCAGCCCCCTTTTTTCTGTAATAAATTATGTCAAAATGTTATACAATGTTCACTTTAACCAATGCAACAGTAATCTGCGTCCAGTTTTTCATTTTTCAGATTCACCAAAAGTTGAGTCGGGGATTGACAACACCAATCGGCATCCAAGACGATAAATCTTAACAGCCAGACCACCGAAGGGAAAACTCCTAATCCTTGTTCAGGACCCTATAATCATGAACAATTTTCTTTTCAAACCTCATTTAGTGACACAAATCAAAACTTAAGATCAACTATCCAAAGACTTTTAATTACATACCCTTAATCTGTCGCATTGTCCTCTTTTGTGTTTGGCGGGTCTGGGGGGACCTAAGGGGGGGTTTTCGGGACATTTCTGGCCTGTGTTTCCCCCATCTGTCAACTAAGACAGAGGGCAGTTGTTGTTTGTGGGGAAAGTATTACCCCTTATGTAGTTTATGGTTGGGGTTCTACAAGTTTAAGCCATACTTGGTGCCCCCTTCACCTCTTTTAAAAGGAGGGAAGGCTCACAGTCTGGAGTACTCAGTGTCAGTAAGTACTATCGAACCAGGGAGCAATCTTCTGGAAACAGGGTAAACAGATATGTCCCAGGCCATTCCCGTCCACATGCTAGTTGTCAAGCATTGGGACTTCACCGGCACTTGTGCTCAACACAAGGCCTCCGTCATGCCCGTTATGCACCTTTGTGTGTTGGTATTTCGGCCGTAACCCCAGACCTCATATAAGATTTGGGGACAATGTGGCCATTTATGTCCATTATCCGTAGACTTTACAGTGACTTTACAGTGAATGTTGACAATTGTTGAATTTGAAAATGTGTGACTATAATAATTGGTGTAATACTACTGTTTCCAAGTTAATAAATGTTAAATGAACTTATGAGTTTTGTTATACATTCCTCAAGGCATAGGAATTGTGGTAATGCTATGACAGCATGAATTGCAATGAAATTTGGTATGCGAATGGTTCTATGCAAATCAAAAGCAATCGAGATACCAATAAGTTGGTAATTGTTGAAGCAATATACAGACTGTTCAATTAATCAAATTATATATCCGTATTATTTGTTAAAAAAGAAAATCTCATTTACGGTACTCCTTTATGAAATTTAGGAAACTATGTGCGCCCATCCCTGATATCAAATATTCTTTAATTATCTTTTCATAAGCATAGGATATTACAACATTGTAAAATTATGTCACAATTACAATAAAAATCATTTTCATGCAATTTGTAAAAATAAAAAAAAAATTTGGGTATTCTTTATATCAGTTTCCTCACAATGCTTGTTTATTTAAATACAAACTGTATTTTTACCATTTATATTTGTAAATATGTTGTTTTTTTCTTTAAAGTATAATACATTACTTATACATATTTGTAAAATAATTGCAATACAATTTACATTGTAACTATGATTTTGAGGAAAATTCATTTCCGTTAAGGAGGGATTCTTGTCTGGTTTCTGACTAGACGAAATATTCCAAGTATATTTGCTCGTAGGTCTTATATACTTAGCTGTAATGTATTAAAAGGATCAAGTTTTTCTTTACTCATCATAATTGTACAATTTTAGATATAAATGGTAAACTGAGTTTGAACTGCATCAGGGACTATATTTTTGGACTGCGGCATATGAGAATATCTCCTTTTCTGCCTATCAAAATCACTGCCTATCACAATCAGAACAACACATTTAGTTAATCTTTTTAAGCAATCAAAGACTTAAAGAAATTTTGAAATGTAACTAAAATTAATAATAATGCCCTAAAGTTTTAAAATATAGCAAAGAATAATGATTTTCTAAACAAACTACAGTCTTGTTAGGTTTTGAAAGCTTCCAACCTAAAAACAGATCGGAGCATAAAATCAGTAAAAGGTGTTTTTTCTCTCTTATTAAACGGTCAATGCTTTTTGTTTCTGTATCATTTTGTATATTTATATGACTACTTTAACATATGTAAAAATAAGAAATATTTAAATATAAGAGGTATATAAAATAACTAATATATCCTAAAAAATTAAGAAAGACAGAGGAAATTCGGATTAGTAAATACCTATTTAAGTTAAATAATGTCAATTAATTTGGTAGAATCATCTGATAGACCTAATATGGTAACATCGTTTTGGGCAAAAAAGAAAAACATTTTATCTTTTAAAATAGATGTAGGCTTTACATGATTAGCAACGGTAATTTTTTACTCTAAATGTCAAGGAAAAAGATAATGACCTTGACCTGACCTTGCTTCTAAAATTAAACGGTCAAATTTCATCTAATTGATTCCATCACTTAGTGATAATTTCTTCTTGAATCTATGAAAATTTCATTAATTTTTTAAATACAAGAACTATGATAAGAATATGAGAAGCATCCCTCCTTAATGGTTATTTCACCTGGGAATATTTCAGTCTATAATGCTAAAATGGTTTTTATTTGTCGCTAAGTTACTCAATATTTTCATCTCCTTAATATTTAATTATTAAAAAGATAATTATTACATTTTCACTTGTGAAATACTTTGTTTTATTGAATAAAAGTGATATTCTGTCACAGTGTGATTGATTGAATGTATGTTATCTAACGTCCCATTCGAGAATTTTTTCTCATATGAAGACGTCACCGTATGCCGGTGAAGGGCTTCAAACTTAGACCTATACTCGGCACTCAGGGCCATTGAGCAGTGAGGGTTCTTTATCACGCCAAAGCTTACCGTGACACTGGACCTCGGTTTTAAGATTTCATCCAAAAGACCCGCGACTTTCACTTCTAGTGCCGGCCGCTTGGCGAAGGAACAGTCGCTACCTATGTTTACGTCTTAGGTCTGACGCGGCGCGGCGAACGAGAATGGGCCCCACATCACGAAGCGAGCCCCACTAGGGTGCCACAGTTTGAAATGATATCAAAGTAAGTAAAAATAAACTATGGCCTTTCATACGATAAAGATAGTAAGTAAACCATCTTGATAGAAACTGAACCTACCACTTTCTTCCCCAATATATTGCTAAAATCCATGTTACAATGTTTTTGATCTCATATTTGCTAAGGACCTCTCAGTCTCTCATCTATGACGTCACAGCCTATGACTTTGTGTTTTAAGACTAGGAAATAAATTCCATATACAATTACAAAACATTAGATATTCTCTATTTACTTGAAATAGTGTCCATTACACAATGTAACAGTTAAATTCTTATTACTGAGTTCATCTGCTTTATTTCTCTACATATTTTTTTTTGATGCTGGTATATTGAATTGGTTTATCA